TTTTTTAAATGTCTCGGTTGCTCATTGGTATGGTTTTCATCTGTTTCTCATCAAAGGGATGATGGAGTAGGTCTCTGGCAAGTTGATGTTGATATGATGGGTGTTCTCTTCACCAGCCTTGTGGAGTTCCTACAATTGGAAGATACTTATAATATCTTTATTTTGAACCCAAAGAATGCCACAAAAAGAGCCAAATATGGCTATCGGTAAGTACTTCAGGTTGCATTGCATGCTTATTAGATTTGGAGATGACAATTTGAAATGACTTGTATTTCTGTTATATTTGAGCATTGATAAGCAAATTTTTTTGTTTAAGAGATCTCAAAACCTCCTTATTATGCCTCAACTCAAAGTTCTACCTACTAAAATCTGACATGTGGAATATAATGTATCCCTTTTAACGAGGATCGTTTAAGAAATGAGGTGCTGATACTTCTGGTTGTTAATTTGATTTCATTATCAAACTCCATTCTTCCTGCAAAATGTTTTACATCCTTCTCTTTCAACTAAATTATACAGTAATAATGGTATTGATTTCTAAACTGAAAAAGACTTTCTTTGATTAAAATATAATGGATTTTTGCTCTGTTTTCTGAACACATAAATGTAAATGATTTAGTCGATAGAATTTGAGATATTGAAAGGGTATGATAATGCACAATGAATTATATTTATGCTAGGTAAAGAAAGAGAAAGGACCTCTAATTTTCTTTTGTTGTAGATATCATGCTGTTTGCTTTTAGCCTACATTTTATTTGGATTGCATTACTTCTCTTCATCTATGTTGTCTAATATTCATACTACCCGAATGATATCCATGTTGCTTGCTTACGTTGGATGTGAGTGTTAACTTTGGTTTCCTATGGCAGGAGAGGCTTATCGGAGACCGAGATAAACTTTCTCAAGGAGGTAGATTTTATGCTTGTGCCTCTTGCATTCCCTTTTCTTTAGAGAACTTCATTACACATGCTAGGATTTCGAAGCCAATATTATATTATATTTTTTAAACTTGAAGTTCTTCACCATTTTATCCAATAGGTGATCAGTCTGTTCTCTCCCATTCAAAGAAACCATAATTTAGTTGTTCAATTTTTTAGTTTGAGTTATCTATTCTGACTTTCCAGCAATATGGCTTATTTCCTTATATTCAGTTATTGGAATGACTTTCACAGAATAAGTCCTTGCAAGCTAGAATTCTTCAGTCTGGAAAAATTCCGGATACTGTTCTTGGTGCGTATATTTGATATCCTGCCCTTTGTAGATCGATGAGATGAGAAACATGTACTGAAGTTACTAATTTATATATTTCACAATTTTGTTAGCTCTGGATAAAATCAAAAGACCATTATATGCGAAGCATCCAATGTCAAAATTTACCTGGACTATTGCAGAGGAGACTGACACGGTGAGTTAATCTCTTGCTTAATTTGTAAATTATACATGGCAGATATTTTAACTTGTACTAATTGTACCAAAATAAATTTGCCCCAAGCTTGTTGAATTCCAGGATCAGAAGTGCGGACACTTAGCCGCCATCCAACTTTTCATTGACGAGATGGATAGTTTTTGTTGTTTTCCTGAATATAATTGTTTATCAAGAAGATGACAACCTTGGATTGTTAAATATGCAAACACTTATAAAGTCTTTGATTGACTGCGACCGTTGAGGCTACTAGATAATCAAGGTTTCTGAGGATCTGTTGCCCAACTTGTTTAAGTTTGTAATAAAGAAAAATATGGGGAACAAATAGAGATTATGGTTCCTTCTTTTTCCATTTATTTTCGTTTCTCTTTTTCTGAAAAGAACTTTAAGCTGTTCGAGTAATGCTTAATTTGTTTTATGGAATTCACTGTCAAACATTTCAGATAGAGTGGCATAATAATTGCCAAGAGGCACTGAACAATGTTGAAAAACTATATCATGGAAAAGACACTGCTGATATTGTACAGAGCAAAGTTTTGCAGGTATATTTCTTATTTATTCGTTATGGTGATTAAAATACTCGTGAAAATATAAATTTTCTTTTCTCTCTAGATTTATGTATTGCTTCAATAATCAAATTTGTAAGGTAGTTTTAGTGACGTCTTTGCATTGAATCTTTTTTTTTTTTTCTTTCTTTTCTTTTGCAGTTTCTGAATGGGAAAAATGACGATTTGAAGCTTTTTTCTGAGAAAGATTTGAAGTCTGGAGACTTTAGCGGGTTTCATACTGATTGTCTCACAGACGCATTTATTGGGAACCAAAGGTTGCTCCCCCTCCCCCTTCTCTTTCACACACGTATAAACTTTCTTATTATACTTCTTAGTGGGATAAACTTTTAATTCTGACAATATGTGTATATTAGGTGGGCATTTATCGACTTGACTGCAGGCCCTTTCTCATGGGGACCTTCAGTAGGTGGAGAAGGTGTACGTACAGAACAAAGCCTACCAAATGTGGATAAAACAATAGGAGCAGTTACAGGTTCGTTGGTGAAATTCTGTTATTGAGGTGTAATTGGTAAGACTAATTAACTCATGGTACTGGGGTGCAATATAGCATTCATTTTTATCGATGATACCATTGTAGTATCTGATGTTTCCATTGTTGTTTTTCCATCCTAAAAAGAATAATAGCTGTTTAAGTTGCCTGCAAAGTATCTGTAGTGCAGTTTTCAGATTGTAGTTTCCCCAGTCCTATTATTATTGTGTGTCAATAACAGCCGTTGATCTTTCTGTAAGTTGATTTGTCTGAGCATTGTTTATATTGCATACATGCATTCAGAAATTTCAGAAGATGAAGCAGAAGATCGCTTGCAGGAGGCGATTCAGGAGAAGTTTGCAGTGTTCGGTGAAGTATGCATTTGTTTTCACTTTTTACTGTGTGGAATGATGTTAACATAATTATTCAAGGTTGATTGATGGTGATAAATTAAAGAAACATTTTTGCTTTTCTAAACATGGTCGAGCAATTTCATTACTTGTTCCACCTTTTCCTCTTTTGTTGACTTAAGTAGTAATGTTGTTTTTTCTTACATCCTGTATTTTGAGGAATAATGTACCGAATATATTACTATTAAACTGATATGCAGTTTGTCTTACATCCAGTGTTGATTTGCCTCATACTATGTTTTTCATATTGTGTAGAACGATCATAATCCTGTTGATATCCTTCTAGCTGAAATAGACATATATGAGCTCTTTGCATTCAAACATTGTAAGGGGAGGAAGGTCAAGCTTGCACTTTGTGAAGGTAACGCTACTCCTGATCATTCTCTCTCTGACACACCACCAACACACATTTCGGTATTAATTTACGTATGTTTCCCATAGTGTTTGTGGTCATAGACTTGCCACCAAAATATTGACCAGCTCTATCTTTCATTGTTTTATCCATGTTCTGATTGAAATTCCTACGGCATCCCAGAGCTTGATGAGCGCATGCAGGATTTGAAAAAGGAATTACAGTCTGTCGAGGGCGAGGAGTACGAAGAAAGTCATAAGCAAAAAGCAATAGATGCATTAAAGCGCATGGAGAACTGGAACTTGTTCAGTGACACCCATGAGGTTTGCTATTTCAAGCCTTATATATTAGGCATGCTCTTATATTTTTTTTCACCTGTTTTCAAGAGCATTTCCTGTTCAATAGGTGTTTATTTTCTATGCTATCTTGTAACTAGATCTACAAGTATTTATCATATCAACTGCCATTTGGCCTTGCAGGATTTCCAAAATTACACTGTTGCACGAGATACTTTCCTTTCTCATCTTGGGGCAACACTTTGGGGTTCATTGAGACACATCATTTCTCCTTCCCTTGCTGATGGTGCATTCCACTACTATGACAAAATCTCCTTTGAATTGTTTTTCATCACGCAAGAGGTAAAATTATGATAATTATGCAAGTGTTCTGGCAAAGTGAAGATGGTTCTCTAATACTTCTCTGTCTCTCTGTCTATACAGAAAGCTAGACATATTAAGCAGTTACCACTTGATTTGAAAAGTCTCATGGAGGGACTTTCCTCTCTGGTGTTACCGTCACAGAAAGTCCAGTTTAGTCAACACATGTACGTCCATTGTTTTTCTGTCAATTTGGAGCTTTAAGTGATTTCTAGTTCCGATCAATCTGCTGAAGTCATAATCGACCAGAAAGCTCTAGTAATTAGTTCTGAGTTTGTTTCTTGGAAAGTTTTGCACAACTTATATTCGGTAAACTGAAACTTTGAAGTATAAATCTCTTCCCCATATAAATTGAACTATCCAATAATGCTTTTTGAAAATATTTTGTGTCAAGGAACGTATTTATAAGTTAATACTTCTAATAACAGTTTATTTTTCGGTGAAACTATTGAAAACTATAATGTTATGGACTATAAAGTATTATATTCTGTTTGAGTCAACTAAACCATAATATACATTTTACATTAAAGAAGTTGAAAGTTTTATGAACTTCTGGACTACTTGGTTTACTCCCACGACGCGCTTTGGCCTTGTTATTTGAATTGTGAATGAATACCAACTTTTGCCATGTTTTTCTGGTCCAATTTGTTTCGTAGGTTACCGCTGTCTGAGGATCCAGCTTTGGCTATGGCATTTTCGGTGGCCAGGAGAGCAGCTGCAGTACCTTTGTTACTTGTGAATGGAACATACAGAAGAACTGTTCGTTCATATCTTGATTCCTCTATTCTTCAGCATCAGTTGCAGAGGCTACATGATCATGCTTCTTTGAAAGGTTTGCTTGCTTAGACATTGAACTTGTTTCATATTTTGCATAAGCATAAAACATATATATGTTGATTTTTGTCTACTGGGGGGAGAACTGAAGGAATTGTATTTTATCCCAAAGAAGAAATTGGTGTCTCGAATTAGCTAAGTGTTTACTTTTGAAGAAATTCTTTTCTTTCTTGCATTCATGAATGACTACCGTGCAATTTAGCAGCAGTTTGCTACCTCCAACACTTGTTATTTATATTCTTTACCTTTTGGTTTCTGAAATTTAATGTATCATTTGTATTCCGTCTTTTACGTTTAGTGCATGTTTACTTCTCAGTACATGGGGAGTTGCTTATTATTATTATTATTATTATTTTTATTTATTTATTTATTTTTTTCTTCATATGATACTAGGTTAAATATAATATCATAAGATAATGCTGGATGAGTGGCTTGAATTGTATCTTATGCAATCTGGTATTTTAGTGGATATATTCTCAAGCATCGTTCTTCATAGTTGACGATGGAACTTTTCTCTCTGTAGCTCTTAATGTCCAACCATGATTAATATTCTACAATTATGTTAGATTTGTTTATTTATTTTAGTGTATGTATGTGAGTGATGCAGGCTCACACGCACATAGCAGATCTACACTGGAAATCCCCATATTCTGGTTCATTCATGGTGAAGCTTTGTTAGTCGACAAGCATTATCAGGCAAAATCACTCTCTGATATGGTTGTTGTTGTTCAGTCAGAGCCAACGTCCTGGGAAAGCCATCTGCAATGCAATGGGCAGTCACTTTTGTGGGACTTGAGGTTTAACCTAGTGCTTCATTGGTGTTGGAAATTTTACATGGATAATAGCTACATCAATGTTGATTGACTTGTGAATATGTATCAGTGTTCAAAGAATTTTAGCTTTCATTTGAAAACTAAGGAAATCTAGCTTTCATTTGAAAACTTAGACTTCGATCTTTCATTGGTGGAAAAGGAAGTGAGAAGATTATATTTTGGATGCCTCCGTTTAAAATAATAAATCGGGTCTTAAGTTGCTCTCTGCCACCTCATCTATCATTTTACACCTTTATCTCTTGTGGATTAAATTGAACTCTCCTAACTATTTCATGCATTAGATATAGTAATGCACACCTGGTACTTCTTTTTCCTCAGTTATTCACTTATTTGTGTCTGCATGTGGTCTGTAAGTTAGACCTTGATTTTCTCTATTTCCAGAGTGTTCCCAGAATTTTATTGAGGCTATGTTGAGATTGTAGCGGAGTGGAATTTTCTGTCTATTTTTTAGTGTATATATATATATATATATATATATATATATTAGTTTCTTTTTTTTTTCTCCTTTCTGCCCTAGAAGAGCTCATTTTTCTTAGTATGTAACAAAAGTTGATTTGTGTTCTCTGGTAATAGACTAATAGTATGCATATAGCATTTTTCTTAATTTTGAGACTCTGCAAGAAAAGTTTCCAAGAGGTTGATCAGGAATGTTAATGTGTTGTATGAATTTGATTTGTGTTTGCCGATAATGAGCCTGTAATAAAGAATGACACACTATATTTATTGTCCCACAGGAGGCCCATAAAAGCTGCTCTTGCTGCTGTCTCCGAACATATAGCTGGCTTGCTTCCTCTTCATCTTGTTTACAGTCAAGCCCATGAAACAGCCATTGAGGTTGTAACGTGTTTGCCGGACTTTAACCTAATTTATTATACCCCTAGCTTTGTAGAAGTTGATGCTTATCATGTTAAAAATACTGGGTGAAGAAATGGAGATATTGATTTGAAATAGTGCATCTTTGGAAATTCAAGATTACGAGGTTCATGCTTTGTTATTACAAGCATGTGCTTATCATGATGTGCTCAGCGAACTACATTTTGTTCTCTGCCAATTTTCCCCCTATTTATAATATATTCCACCCTTGTGGTCCTCATTTCTATTAGTTTATCTATATGTGTTCGTATATTGATGTGTTACATTATGCAGACACATAATTTTTCCCAATTTCTGAAAATTGGGATCACAGAGTTCTGTGTCAGCTTTATTATTATACTAAACTTTATTCTACATGTGCAACAGGATTGGATATGGTCAGTGGGGTGTAACCCATTGTCTGTAACTTCTCAAGGCTGGCATATGTCCAAGTTCCAAACAGACACCATAGCTAGGAGTTACATACTCACGACTCTTGAGGAGTCGGTACAAGTCGTCAATTCTGCAATTCATCTTCTTGTCATGGAGCAAACATGTATCCTTAAATGTGTCATAATATTCTTGTCGTTGAACTGAATCCAAGTTGGTTAAATTGAACAAAATTTATTTATAAGCTAATTTCTGGAAAATATTCGTGTCACTTAACGCGTCAGTCCTTGTATTGTTAATCAGAGGGTTCATGAAATTGTTTCACTCTTCTCTTTTTTTTTTTTTGTTCTTTGGAATAGTTATTTTTGCTGTTATTCCGTTTTATACTTAATGAGAACCAGCGGAGCAGACTTTCAAGCTCTTCCAGTCTCATGAGCGTGAGCTAAAGAACAAGTACAACTATGTCGTTAGTCTCTGGAGAAGAGTAAGCCTAATACCCCATCATTTATCGTACACATTTCTCCGTTATAACCGTTCGTCTCTGCAAACGTTGTTTATTTCGAACTTCCATATTCAAATTTTCACAGATTTCAACTGTTTCTGGGGAACTACGCTATGCCGATGCCTTAAGACTGCTGAACACCCTAGAGGACGCTACAAAGGGGTTAGCTTCTAAGTTTCCCAATAGATTTAGTTTCATTTCATGAAGCAAAATTCAGCGTGCGATTAAAATTTTCTCTACTTTCCTCCTCACGAAATATATTTTAGTTAATTCTGGCGTATTATTTTACAGATTTTCCGATTATGTGAATACAACTGTGGCGAACCTACATCCAATTCACTGCACTAGACAGAGGAAAGTGGAGGTCGAGTATGACATGACCACAATTCCTGCCTTTTTGGTTGTTATACTTGTGCTGTGGTTTGTACTAAAGCCGAGAAGACCAAAGCCGAAAATCAACTAACATTGTTATGTACGGTAAGTGATAGGTCGGGTTTCCATTAAACATCAAAAGAGGAACAAAAAGTATACATCTTCCCGTAGGCAATGGTGACAGATTTTTAGACCTAGGAAAAATTGTCGGTTGTTCAAGTTCGACTGAGTGAATGGGATCTTTTGTGTTTTTGAGTCCCAACCGAATTGTAAAATTTGTTTCTCATTATGTTAAACAAAACAAAAAGATTTTGCCTTCTCCAGATCTAATATTTGCAGGTTTTCTCATGGGAGGACGTGATTTTACTTTTGATTTCGTGTTCGTATGTTGGCAATTGAGTCGTGTTTTTCTTTTGGAATGAGATCGCAGTAAGTGCGATTTTGTTTGTTTGTTGGAGCATCAAAGCGAAACAGGCAAAATGACGACTTTGTGAGGATTACTTAGTGTAGTATTGGCTTCTCATTTCCATGATGAGGAGCGGAAGTACAATGAAATAATATGAATTTAGCTTAAACACGCTTCATCTTAGCTTAAACATGCTATATTCACATTAACCTAATAAAAAAAGTCCATCAAAATAGTAGTCTAATTAGAATATGAATTTACAGTCTAACTATTACATCGGAATGATTATTTTATAAATTCATATACTTTTATTAAAAAAATTCATACTTAAGAACACTAACAAAAGTACGACAACATAAGATTATGTTTTTTTGTTTTTTGTTTTTTTCAAATAGTATGGTAGATAGATTTGTCCAAGGATTAGGCGAAAATTTTAAGTGGTAAAACTCTTAGATATATATACTTTCATATTTAAACATATGTTTTAAACAAAAAATATATATTATAAAAATATAATAAGCATGGATTTCGAATTTTTCTCAATACAAACGCCATACCTCCAAAGAGATAAAAATAAGCAGCCAAACCCCAAAAGTAAATTAAATGTCAAAAGTAAGTATAAACAGGCCTATAATTCAACTTTTTTGGCCTAAAACCGACAGAAATTCTATGGCACCACTATAAACCACGCCACAATATGATGTATCATATGAAGTGACTTTATTAATTTTAATTATCAATTCCATGACATATATGAGGTGGTTTCTTTTTTTTTTTTT